ACTGGAGGCTTGTGTACTTGTCTTTCGATTCGCGGTTTGTGTGTGTGTGTTTACCTATTTGTAATCACCTACTTGTCTCTGCTGGATCGTGATCTAGCTCTTGGACCTCGCCTTTCTAGCCGCTGGTTGTCTCATGCAACGACTCCTGCTCTGTTTCCCTATCATATTTACTTTCTAAATTATAATTATTTTGTCGGGGACAGACAAAATATATACATATATGTATACTTTATAAATATACTACGTATATATATATATATATATATATATATATATATATATATATATATATATATATATATATATATATATATATATATATATATATATATATATATATATATATATGTATATATATATATATATATATATATATATATATATATATATATATATATATATATATATATATATATATATATATATATATATATATATATATATATATATATATATATATATATATATATATATATATATATATATATATATATATATATATATATATATATATATATATTAAGTTTCTATCGAGCTCCTGCCCCCACCTATGTGGAACTACTGACCATCTCCAGGAAGCAATATACAACAGTTGCCTAACTCCCAGGTACCTATTTACTGTTAGGTGAACACAGACATTGGGTGAAAGGGAACATGCCCCGCCATATCCGTCCCGCCTGGGAATCGAACCCAGGATCTCCGATTGTGAGTCGAGAACGAATTTCCTCACTTAGTTCATTCCACTTTCCACTGCTCTTAAGTTTCCCATTGATGATATGTTTCCCATTGATGATATGTTTCCCATTACTCTTGTGCTTTAAGAAAACTTTCTAATATTATGATATCTGATACTCAAGCTTTCCTCCACACCCTCTCGTTCTGTTGTTCATTTTGAACATTTTTTTTTTACTTAGTAAACGTAGCTAATGGGTTTCATCAGTCTCTAACGTGTTTCCTCCCTTTCTCTCTTTGTCTAGAGACGTCAGGTCTAATTCTTTCTGTTTTTCTTCATACCCCATCTCTCGCAGTTCCAGGACGAGCCATCCTGCCGCAACTCTCTGAACCTTTGTATTTTTAATTTGTGTTTCCAGCGACCTCCAGTACCAGTCGTGTTATATATCACATGTGTTACATACTGTACCTACTCGCCAAGTTTGTTTCCTTTAGTATTTTATACATTGTGAACATATCTCCTCTGCTCCTTCTCTCTTCTGGTAATACAATTGCTCTTCCATAACCTGTCTTCCTACCATTCTTGTAGGAAATGTCTTGACTGTCTCAATATTCTTGTTTATTTTCTCAGTAGTATGGGGTTACGAGGCGGGTGCTGCATATTCAAGGGCTAGTCTGCCATCGATTATGAACAGTGTTCTATTCTCTGCTTATGGTCATAAAAGTCAATCGTATGTACATCTACTCGGATGTTATTCTATATATGTTCACCCTCTTTAGCGTTATTGAGGGATCCACGCCTTGATCTTTCTCGATTCTGATTACATATGTGGATATTATGTCTAGTAGCCATTTGTCTGCCTAGTCATATTGACTTCTTGTGCCTGCAGGATCGAGCTGCTAGCTCTTGGACCCCGCCTTTCTATCTGTCGGTTGTCTAATGTACTGACTCCTTACCTATTTTTCCTCTATTATATATACTACGATTTCTCACACATACACACACTCAGGATGCAGTCTGAATCAGCTAACTCCCAGGTACTTATTTACTGCTAGGTTAACAGAGGCATCAGGTGAAGGGAAACCTCTGTGGAAGCCTATTTGTGTGCGTGTTCGCACCTACTTGAGTTAGAAGCCAGCTCATGGGGTCCGCCTTTCCTTCAGCTGATGGCGAGGTGCTCTAGTGACTCAATCTACTACAATTAATGCATAATTAATTATGCATTAATTAATTAATATAATTAATGCATAATTAAGCATAAATGAAAGAAGCAGAGTTACCATAACAGAGGAGGAGGTTCACGCTCTCAACTGTAATGACTGAGGCCAAATATTTGCAGTCAGAACAACTTGAAACTTGACTGATCACCATATTATAATTCAGCTGTTATCGCAGGCACTAGCCTATACGATGGCCAAGACAAAGCATATTTCAAAATAAATTATTGATGCATAAAACAATCAATGAATTGAATTTTGGAAAAAGATCTATGTCGTTCGTTGGTAAGGAAGCCGAGTCCTTGAAAACCTTTAAGTTGCAGATGTGAGTCTTTGCAAAACCAAACTATCAGGGGGTCGTGTCAACACCAATATGGAGATTGCAATAAAGTAAATTTTGAAGCCCATTTCACTCAGGTGTTGCCAAGACGGACGAGGAGTCTCTGATGCACAGGACACATTAATATACAAGACGAACACACACACACACACACACACACACACACACACACACACACACACACACACACACACACACACACACACACACACACACACATGATAGAGCCCGGTAGGCTCAGGAATCTGTACACCAGTTGATTGACGGTTGAGAGGCGGGACCAAAGAGCCAAAGCTCAACCCCCGCAAGCACAATTACGTGAGTACAACTAGGTGAGTACACACACACACACACACACACACACACACACACACACACACACACACACACACACACACACACACACACACACACACAGAGCGGACGGGAAGAAGATTGTGATCTTGATAATCTACAATCCCCCACCAAACAGTAGAAGGCCCAGGCAGGAGTATGATGACAACAACAAGGCATGTATAGATGAACTGCATAAGGCAGCAACAATTCGCATAGAATAAGAGCGAAGCTGCTGATCATGGGGACCTAAATCATGGAGAGATAAATTGGGAAACAAGGAATCCCCATGGAGGGGAGGGACGAAACGTGGGGAGCGAAGTTAGTAGATGTTATAGACAGGAATTTCCTAACACAACATGTGAAGGAAGACACAAGGGAAAGAGGAGGGGATACGCCGAACCTATTAGACCTGATCTTCACCCAGAATGTAAAAGACATCGAGAATTTGGAACATGAAATACCTCTAGGGGCCAGCGAAGTCCTAATCTTTGACAATAATAAATTGACAAAAAATAAATTGATTAGAAAGATGGGGTCCAAGAGCTAATAGCTCGATTATGCAAATACAATTTTTTTTTTTTTTTGAGATATATTCAAGAGTTGTTACATTCTTGTACAGCCACTAGTACGCGTAGCGTTTCGGTCAAGTCCCTGGAATACGATCCCCGCCGCGAAGAATCGTTTTGTCATCCAAGTACACATTTTACTGTTGCGTTAAACAGAGGCTACAGTTAAGGAATTGCGCCCAGTAAATCCTCCCCGGCCAGGATACGAACCCATGACATAGCGCTCGCGGAACGCCAGGCGAGTGTCTTACCACTACACCACGGAGACTGCAAATAGTACACACACACACTATGTGGAATGGAATTACAGAACTAATAAAGAAGGAGACCTAGGGGGGGGGGGGTGGTTTTGGATAGTAAGCTGTCGCCAGAGGAACACATAAAGAACATTGTGAGAGGACCGTGTGCGTCGCTTACCAACTTCAGACTTGCTGTTAATTATATGGATGGTGAAATACTAAAGAAACTGTTCATGACCTTTGTGAGACCAAAACTGGAATATGCAGCAGTTGTATGGAGCCCAAATCTCAAGAAGCACATAAACTGGAAAAGGTGCAACGCCATGCTACAAAATGGCTTCCGGAACTGATAAACAAGAGTTACGAGGAGAGACTAGAGGCGATAAGCATGCCAAAACTAGAAGACAAGAGAGGTGATATGATCACCACTTACAAAATACTAACAGGAATCGACCAAATTGACAAAAAGGAATTCCTGAAACCAGCAACTTCACGAACAAGAGGACACAGATTCAAGCTAAGGAAACAAAGGTGCCGAAAAAATATTAGAAAGTTTTCTTTTGCAAACAGAGTGGTAGACGGTTGGAACAAGCTAAGTGAGAAGGTGGTGGAAGCGTTATATGATAAAGAGTACTGGGAAGACGGGATACCACGAGCGTAGCTCTTATCCTGTAATTACACTTAGGAAATTACGCACACACACACACACACACACACACACACACACACACACACACACACACACACACACACACACACACACACACACACACAGTTTGCGTGGCGCCTGATGGCTCAGTGGACAGCACTCAGGAATCGTAATCCAGGGGACCGGGTTCGATCCCCGGGAATGGCGGAAAACAAGTGGGCAGAGTTTCTTTCATCCTGATGTCCCTGTTACCTAGCAGTAAATAGGTACCTGGGAGTTAGATAGCTGTTACAAACTGCTTCCTGGGGGGAGGGGAGTTGAAAAAAATAAAATTGACTGTTGATTGACAGTTGAGAGACGGGCCGAAAGAGCAGAGCTCAACAGCTAGATGAATACACACACACACACACACACACACACACACACACACACACACACACACACACACACACACACACACACACACACACACGGCCTTATTAGACCAGAAACGGAGACTGTGAGGAGAAAGTGCTAAGCCATTATGATTACGGTTAGGAGCTGGGATAGAGGAAATAAGTGAAGGAACGATTTTAACCCTTGGACCCTTGGACCCTTGGACCCTTGGACCCTTGAAGATCGAACGCCGGCCTGAAAGAAGCAAGACCGTCGCTGTACAGACCAGTCCAGGTGGCTGGGTTTACTAGACCAGGTCACAGTTACAAAAACCAATATACAAATATAGTTACAAAACAATGTAAATAAATACATAATCATAAGAGATAAGTTGTCGTGCATTAGAAGTCCATTACATAAATCCATTGAATAACCTATTTTATATACATCCGTGTATTTGTATACATCCGTGTATTTGTATACATCCGTGTATTTATATACATCCGTGTATATCCGTGTATTTATATATCCGTGTATTTGAGTACATCCGTGTATTTGTGTAAGTATTTGTGTTGTGATTTGTGTTGTGATTCTATAAGTTTGTCAGAGACCATTTTGGATCATTATACGCATCATTGGAACCACTGACGTCTCCTGCACCTCACTGTGTCCTGTTTACCAGCGTGTGATGGGTTCCTAACTGTCTCACATACCAAGAACCATTATCATAAGTATAACAACAAATCCTACTCCATTAAAATGTAAATAAAACACATTACACTGCTGGTATACATGTTTCTACATCGCCATTAATCACAAACTTTGCGTGTATGTGTTTAGTGTTTGCACGAAAACAGCGAAAGGATCTTTTCTCTGAAGTGATCGACTTTTCTGTGTGTGGACCCCAGTGGGGGTGTCGAAGGTTCCTCGACACACCCATGTCTCACACGGTATTGTTTATAGTCGAACAGTAAGTTTACAACTTGAAAATGAATTAGTGATGTGTTGGTAAAACCCCCAGGGAATGTGAGCTTGGTGCAATGACGGTGTTGAACCTCACTGAAAAGTTCTTAAGAAGTGCGTCATGATGGCGAGACATCTGGAGAACAAGCTCTTTGTTTATGGTGATAATAATTCTCATTTATAAATAGAACACAAGAAAATAACGACGAACTCAAGACGGAGATTCTAAAAGGAGATATCTTGGCCGGATATCTCCAGAGCCTTGTTTGTTTACTTTCCATCCGGCTGGTCAACTATTAGCCTCTTCACCCAGCTGGCCTGGTCGCCCACCAGCTGGCCTCATCACCCAGCTGGCCTCGTCACCCCAGCTGACCTGGTCGCCCAGCTGGTCAACTACTGGCCTCTTTACCCACCTGTTACTTCTCCAGACAGTCATACCTGATGACGAGAACACTTGTTCACCTGGTGACCTTCCACACCTGGTGACCTTCCACGCCAGGTGACCTTCCAAGCCTGGTGACCTTCCACGCCAGGTGACCTTCCACGCCTGGTGACCTTCCACGCCTGGTGACCTTCCACGCCTGGTGACCTTCCAAGCCTGGTGACCTTCCAAGCCTGGTGACCTTCCACGCCAGGTGACCTTCCAAGCCTGGTGACCTTCCAAGCCTGGTGACCTTCCACGCCTGGTGACCTTCCACGCCTGGTGACCTTCCACGCCAGGTGACCTTCCACACCTGGTGACCTTCCACGCCTGGTGACCTTCCACGCCAGGTGACGTTCCACACCTGGTGACCTTCCAAACCCGGTGACCTTCCACGCCTGGTGACCTTCCAAGCCTGGTGACCGTGACCTTCCACACCTGGTGACCTTCCACACCTGGTGACCTTCCACGCCAGGTGACGTTCCACACCTGGTGACCTTCTCCGCCAGGTCCAGGACTCACCAGTTACCTCCTACCTGGTGACGTGGCCTCGACGTGACCCTCAAGGATGGCCAAAGTGGTGCTCCTACAGTGCCTTCTGCTGCTGATCCAGTTATATGGTGAGTCGTCCACACTTACTTTGTTTGGTATCTGTTATAAATATATATGTACCAGGAGGGGTACCCGGCGGTGTCCGGGGTGCCCCTCCTGGTACTGATGAGGCTCTCTCCCACATTCCACCTGTCTACTTTCCCCGTCTCCTCCACATACTCTTTCCCTTTTACCCCTTCCTCAATTCCCCACTCTTCCCCATCTCATTGTCCATCCCCTTCTCTCCCCTCTAACCTCGACCTAGACATTTCCATTTACATATATAGAAAGTGTAACCGGCTGCACCCGGGTCTGTTCCCTCTTTCCCACTCTTCACTCATCTTCCCCTTCCCCCTCCCGCCCTCCCCTAGGCCACCACCTTCCTCCTTTTCCCCTTTTCTCGGAAAATGTATTATTAAGTAATTATCAAAAGAAGGCACCAAGCCGGGAAGGCTATGTAGCACCATCAAATGTGCAGAATAATCAGAGGGCGCTAAATATCACTAAGGATGCCAATACAAGAACAAAAGCGCATAAGACGAACGATATTAAAAGTATCCGATTCACCAAGAATTCTTTCGAGGGACAAGTGACCGCGAGGGACGGTCGGGAAGCAGGACACACACACGTCCTGGAAGTCCGAACATTCAACAAGGATATGCGCGACCGTAAGAGGGATAAAGCAGTTTGGAAAATAAGGAGCAAGGCGGCGCTCCATAAAGTGCCTATGAGTTGAGCATGTATGGCCAATATGTAACCTCGCCATAGCCGTTTCCCACTGCCGGTTACGGTGGTAGGAGGAAGGCCACAGGGACACACTACTCTTAAGAGCACACAGTTTGTTACCAGTAACAGAAGACCAACGACCCGGCCAATGGGCAAGGATGGAGGAATGAATAACTGGGTAGTCGGAATAATGAATTCCTTTACAGGATATGGGATAAGTGCGGATAGCCTCCTTAACGGCAGCGTCCACACGCTCATTTAAGGACACATCAATATGGCTGGGAACCCAGCAAAACTCCACTTCTTAAGTCTATTGGAGATAAGAAACAGCCATTGTTGAATCTCTACTACCAGAGGATGGACTGGATTAAAGGACTCCAGAGCCATGAGGCCACTACGAGAGTCAACTACAACAACAAAGAAGGATTAACAGCTAGAAAGCAGTTGAAGAGCATACAGAATAGCATAAAGTTCTGCCGTGAAGATGCTAGTCTCCGGAGGCAGGCGACAAATATAGGTGTGGTCAGGAAAATCAACAGAGTAGCCTACACCGTCGGCAGACTTAGACCCATCGGTGAAGACGGAAATGGAGCGGGAGTGTGAAGAAAATTGTTCAAGGAAAAGGCGTTTCAGAATTGTAGGAGAGGTAAAAGCTTTAGTAATGTGGGCCAAAAAATTACAAAATTTAGGAAGGGAGGGACCCTTCACGGGGGCAAGAACGGTACAACACGAGGAGAAATATTGGTAACACCAACCGAAAGAGGATCTTGTAAGCGAAACAACCGTACAAGAGGGAGGTGGTGAAGGGAAACAGGGACCACAGGAGGGGCAAAAGTCAAAGCACGACATAGACGAGAGTGAGAGTGTTGTAAAGACCGCGCAAGGTAGCGAAGACAGTAGCGATCTCGGCGGTCCTGGAGAGACAGGAAGCCAGAGTCAACGTATAAGCTAAGAGTAGGAGTTGAACGAAAGGCACCAGAGCTGAGACGCAACCCTGTATGGTGCAGAACATCAAGACGGCAAAGAGTAGACGGAGAAGCAGACAAGTAAGCAGGACAACCATAATTGAGTTTAGACAGTACAAGAGAGGACACATAGGCACAATCAGAGAACACTTTATAAACATCAGAGGTCCACGGTTATTCAACATCCTCCCAGCGAGTATAAGAAATATTGCCAGAACAACCGTGAACATCTTTAAGAGAAAACTAGATAATTTACTCCAAGGATTGCCGGACCAACCGGGCTGTGGTGAATATGTGGGCCTGCGAGCTGCTCCAAGCAACAGCCTGGTGGACCAAGCTCTCACAAGTCAAGCTTGACCTCGGGCCGGGCTTGAGGAGTAGAAGAACTCCCAAAACCCCATCAAGCAGGAATTAAGCAAAGGAATGTAAAGAGAGGAGCGTGCGCCTCTCACCTCCCCAAGAAGTATGGGGACAAGACCTTAAGTAAGTTAAGGATCTTAAGATATTCAACTCGGAGGTAAGATATATGGGGTGACGAAGACAAACGAGTGTCATATTAAACCCAAAGCTTAACAGAACCTTTGTACAAAAGAGGATGACCATAAAGCGACAAAGAGGGACGAAGAACGACCTGCTTCCGAGTAAGTCTTAGCTCAAGTTTTAGTTGTAGAGAACTTAAAGCCATGATTGATAGCCCAAGTCGACACGGCATCAATAATAAGTTGAAGCCGTCGATGAAGGAAAGGCGAGTCATTATCTCGACAGCAAAGGGTAAGATCGTCGACATAGAGCGCTGAGAAAATACCAGAGGGGAAAGGAGGAAAGAAGACCATTGAGGGCAACAAGGAAAAGAGTAGTGCTCAGAACACTACCTTGGGGTACACCTTCATATTGCCGAAAAGAGGCAGAGAAAGAAATACCAATTTAAGCCTCGCTCTAAAGGAACGATTAGAGAGGAAGCTTTGTAGGAACAGAGGGAGATTACCACGAAGGCCAAAAGAACGGAGTTCGGACAGAATATGGTATCTCAAGGGGATGTTGCATGCCTTTTCCAGGTCAAAAAGGACAGCAACAACAGAGGTCTTTGCAGCAAAAGCAGTACGAATATAGAGCTCCGAGTTCACCAAGATATCAGTCATGCTGCAGCACTTGCGAAAGATAAATTGAGAAGGGAAGAGGTGGTGATAGTGTTCCAAGAACCACGTCAGATGGGCATTGACCATGCGTTCAAAGAGTTTGCAAACGCAGCTCGTGAGGGCAACGGGGCAGAAGTCCTTAGGGGATGTCCCTAGAGACCCTAGTTTCTGAATAGGAAGAACCACTACTTCGAGCCAGTCCTCGGAGACTAATGATGACTCCCAAATACGGTTATACAGATTTAGTATATACCGAGACGCGCATGGACGGAGAACAGACTGAAGTTCGGAGAGATCTACTTTACACTTTTATTTTTTATTTTTTATTTTTTTTATTTTTTTTTTTTTTTCATTTTTTTAGGAACTCTTTTATCTTGTACTATTGGCCTTGTCAGTACAGCCACACTACCCCCATAACAAGCTTGTTATAGGGTAGTGAAAACCTTTGTTCAAACTACAATGATGTAAATACTAAAAAAAAAAAAGTTCGGAGAGAGAGAAAGGATTGTTATAGGGAAGCCGGAGATGAGTGCAAAAATCTAAGGGATAAGATCCAAGAATGTGCTTACGATTAATGAAAGACAGGAAGATGAGAATCGGAACTAACAGTCGAAAAGTCGGAACCTAGTTCGGTTGCGACCGCCACCGGATCCGCCACAATAGTACCACAAAGGTGAAGAATTGGCGAGACATCCGGAACAAACTTACCCGCTATCTTGTGGATTTTCTTCCAGATCTGGGGCAGAGGAGTATCGGACGTAACGGTGAAGACATAAGATTTCCAACTCTCACGTTTAGCTGTACAGATGGCCCTTCAGGACACTGCACTCGCCTCCCAAAATAAAATAAAAGAATCGGTCGTCGATCAGCGTCGGTGTTTCTTCCAGGTTGCACGCTTACAGCGGACAGCCCGAGTACAGTCAGCATTTCACCAGGAAACGCACTTCCATGCGCCCCAGGAGGTAGAGCGAGGAATAGAGTGGAGGGCATCATCGAATATGGTGTCATGAAAAAGGAGGAGGGCTCGTGGGAGAGGAAGAGTGGAGAGGTCGGAAAGGGTAGCATGGAGGGTGAATAGATTCCAATCAGCCTTGGCAAACTGCCACCTAAGGAAGGAGAGGGTGGGCTTGACTCGTGGGGTGGGCTTAGGTCGCCCACCCCACGAGCCTGGGAAGTTATAAGAGGATCACTCGGCAGTATAGAAACGAGTAGGCAATAATTTCATTCACGAATAAGCCCCCGTACCCACCATGAAACCACAAATAGAGAATAGTACACCCGAAAAGACGGGCTACTCTAGGGGTGCATCGTGAGTATACACCCCACAATCGCCACCTTAAGAACCGTCAGTCCATCAAGATCGGATTCAGCGACGAAGGCGAGGATTAACAATAAAAGTATTCCCTCGCTTGAAACGTCAGGTACCACAGTTTTACGGGTGAGATTGTGTGCCTCCCCAAACACCCGGGCGTCAAAACAGAAGATGTCTGTAAGAATAATCAAGAATGGCAAAAAGTCGGCGAGAAATGACAATTAGAAAGGAGAAGAAGGGGGGGAAAAGGAAAAAGGAAACATAACGAAGAGGAAATAACATCCAGCATAATTAGTGAAGACAGCAGCAGGAGCATAAGGCTTCAAAAGGACAGACGACTGTCCCATGGAGCATCACAGCCCAGCAACTGCCCACCAAGCCCCTCACGACGACAACGGGCTGGAAAGGGAGGGGGATTTATTATTAAGAACCCTCTCTTCGTCCTTCCCCCCTAGCTTGTTCTCCCTCTCTTACCCCCTCCCCTCTCTCTGCTTCTATAAAAAAAATTGCAATTAATTATTAAGAAGCACTCAATCAACTGTATGGGTCTCTCAGAAAACAATATTATGGAGTAATGCAAAACTCTAGGGGAATCCCATCAAATATTTCACACTGGACTCCATGAAATTTGTATGCGGGTCTTAGTAAATGTTAATATTTCTTAAAGCAGTTGACTTAAGTTTTATGATGTTCTCTCAAATTTCTTATAGGACTATGAGAGAATGTTTCTGTCTGTCTGTCTGTCTGTCCAAAGCTGGAGGCCAGATGCTTGGGGTTCCCCTCACCCAACTTTGTCGGGAGGGAATGGTCTGGTGTACAGGACGGACATAGACTGGTCGGAGTAGGCCTAAGATAAATGCTTTACGAAACATTAGCGTCAATTGTCATTT